GACACAGTGATCTAACATCTGGTGCAAGATTCCCTTCAAGATGCGCAAAGGCAGGGTTGCAACAGGAATATCGGCCCCTGGAATAGATTAGCATACGACATCATGGAAAATTGTGTCTAGCCTCACTGATTGTGTACGGAATAACATTCCAATTATCGTGCTCGGCTGACTCCTGGAGCCGGTCCACGGTCCACTGTGCAAGAGCACTTTTTCCGGAACCAGGCCCGCCAGTGACCAGCATCATGGGGGAACTTCCCACAGTGAAGTCATAGAGGGCATTATTAAACCATTCGAAAGAGCCCTCGGCAAGGGCGTGGGAGCGAGCCTCCAGGATGAATTGGAGGGGACGATCCTGCACACTTAAGAATTGACGGAGACTTCCCAGTTCGGGACTGGCGTAGATTTTGGAGCTTTGGTCAACAACCTTCGAGGTGCTGGACTCAACGATACAGTTCCAGTGTGTGGAATATCGGCGAGCGTAGGTGACGAACGCTCCGTCAACATTGCGCGAGATAATCTGATTTGGCTCCTTGCTCTTGAATCCTTCAATACAGCTGCCGGAAGTGTTGCAAACCATTTCCAACAGATCAGCAAACGCTGCGGCCGCTTCAGGTTGCAGTTCCGGGGATTTGTAGGCACTCTGGTACTGCAAGAGCAGATGAATTCCGACAGCTACACGGCCGTATCTACCGAAAACGCTCTCGAAGATATCCGTGTTATCAATGTCAGACTAGTCAGTGCAGTTAGTATATATTCTCATGAAACCCGGTTATGCTTAACTCACCTCCAGAAGCAGAATACAAAATCCCCAGATCAGCATCGCCGCCTCGTTGGCGCCAGGCGCAAACAATCCAACCGATTCGCGAAGCGCATCAACAGCATATGCCAGCCGGGAGGCCCATCTCAGACTGCAATCGAGTCTGCTACCATCGCGGGGCATCCATCTCAGACGCTCAGCAGCGACAACGTCGAAGAGCATGTCCACCTTGGGACTGCGCTGGCTGATTTCATTGGCGGACAGACCGAGCTGAGTCTTGCACTTCTGAGAGACGGTCTGGATCTTTTCTTGCAGCACGGTCACCTTGTAGCTGCTTCCACGAATGGTTGAGTCTCCGCGAGCAATTTTTCCACCGGCCATAATATTGGTTCCTCCAGAGCCGAGTCCATCTGTTCTGACACCTCCCCGGCCAAAGCCCTGGTCGAGACCTTTACTCCCGGCAGCTCCACTTTGGGTGGCATGCGTTTCGGTTGTCTGTCCGGTTGTAATATCTCGAGCTCGTTTTTCTGTGGTTTCTTTGCCACTGCTGAAAGCACTTTGGCTCATGCCACTATCTTGGGCCATAGCTCTAGCATTGGTCATACCTCTAGCTCGGCCCGTGCCTCCAGTTTGGCTAACACCTCCACCTCGAGTATCAGGACTGAAGACCTGCTGTTCAAGGTGTCCTTGATTGAGGGTAGATTGGCGAGTGCTAGTCTGGCTGAATTGGTCTTTACTTGCGCCAGAAAGTGGGGAGATGCCTGCGGCCACGTCTTGGCTGGAAGAGCCTTGACCAGTATACCCTGGGGTGGAGTAGTCTTGGCTGATACCAGAGAGTTTGCTCGAGGTGTTTTGAGTGGCATATGAGTCAGAGTAGCTTCCGGTAGTGTTTCCTTTGGTGGACATTCCCTGGATGTTCCGGCTGGTGCCGTAGTTGCTGGAGGTGGCTTCGGTGGTTTCCTTCCTAGACACATCCTTGGTCATGTCCGTGCCGGAATAACTTGTGTTGGAAACGTCCTTGGTTCCTTGACTGGTGCCTTCTTGGCTGTAGTCACCGACGGGAACATCTTTCCTGGGGATGTTTTGGCCGAGGTCGTCCTTGTCTGAAACATCTTGGCTTCTGTCTGTTCTAAAATACCCCATGTTCTTGGTGGCATTTTTGTTGGGAGTGCCCTGGCTAGCACCGTCGCCAGTATAGATACCTTGGGGCATGTTCGTGCCGGAGTAACCTTGACTAGTATCCGCTTTCGTGTTGGAGCCCACGGTGGCTCCTTTTTGGCTGGAAGTCGCTTGGCTGCCCGTGCCCATTCCAGAAACACCTCGGTTCGCATTGGACTGATCGGTGGTTCTTTTGTTTGCGATGCCCTTGCTGGTACCGGATTGTTCGGAAATGCCTTTGCCGGCAGATCCACCACCGAAAACATCGGAGCTGATATGGCCTTGCTCGGCAAGTTCGTCGTCCATGCTTGCGTCGCTGAAACGAATTTGACCGACATTCGCCTGGTTATCAGTTTTCGCCTGGTTGAGGCTTCCTGAAGCTGTTTGTCCAGTACTGAAGACGTCTTTGCTGCGGCTGCCGCCACCGCTACCTCCTGCTCCTGCTCCTGCCTCTCCCTGCGATGTCCTCCCTGTGGAGTCTCTCTTGCCCAAATAGTATCCCGGAGTGATTGGACCTCTTTTGATATCGTAGTTTTCGGATACTCGTGACGGGCGTCTGCCAGACCCTTCGATCCAGCCTTTGTTTTCTTTCTTGCTGCTGGAATCACCTCCACTCCACAAGCCATCCTTTTTCTCCTGGCCGCCACTTCCATTCCACAACCCACCACCAGTTTGCTGCTGTCCGGTGAACTCCTGGCTGGGTGGGTTTGTGCCGAAGAGTCGCCGACCAGCTTCCTCTGCTTTATCTTGGGGGTTGCTGGCACCCATGCCCTCGCCGGTCTGCTCTGCTTGGCTGGAAGGATTCGCACTGGACTGTCCTTGGGCAGAGATTTGTTGAGCAGTGCCTTCATAGTTTTCACGGCCGCCTTGCTGCTCTCTCATAGCTCCTTCTGTCTCAGCTTTGCTGGGAGCGCTTGCACTGGACTGTCCCTTGCCAAACATTTCATGGGCGGCAGCGCCATATTTTCCGTGGCTGACTTGCTCTCTGATGGATCCTGCTCTGTCAAGGATATCCTTGCCGGATCCGCTTTTGTTGCTGTCCTCCTTGCTAGGGGACTTTTTGTGGCTCAGCTTTTTCATAAGCTTGGATCCGGCGCTCTCGGTGTTCTTCTCGGTGTTTGCGGACATGGTGATAAGACACTTGGACGTGGGTATCAAAGATTGGTGAAAAGGGATATGGGTATAAAGATAAATCGAAAATAATATACAATATATTGGTCCTTAAGTTCTGTTGTTATGTCATGGATGGTTGCAAAGAGAAGGGGGAAGAGAAAAAGAGGCATGGAAAAGGCTAAATAGCAGGCAGAGGGTTCTTTGCCTACCATTGCATCATGGGATTCCTTCAGAGACACAGGTATTACGACCAAATCCGACGCGCTGTGAAAAGAACAATTCCTGTTTGCGAGGGTGTACCATTCAATGCCTGCTTAATCTCAATTGCCAAGAACGAATCTCATAGAGCAAGACAGAGCAAAGCGGGACGCGATGTCATCGGCCCAAGAAAATGGTGAAGTCGATGATGCTCAACCAAAAAAGGCTGGCCGAACAGTGGATCAACCGAACAGCTGATGTCTCGATATAAACTTTAAGGCTTCGTCACTGTTTTCTCCCGTCTCTACTCTAGCTCATGGTAGTTATGTCTAGAGCTGGAACATTGGGTATATACTGTGGGGTGGAAAATGCTCTGTATATCCAGTCCTGTTGCTAGCTTCAATCAATTGGCTTGCTCTCGTACCGCCATCACAATGAACCTTTCCATACTTTCGTACTGAGGGAAGACGACAGCTCCAAACTGTGGGGTAACCCCCATCCATGCCAGGAAACAATCGGCATCCTTTAAACTCAATGCAAGCAAAAGTACTTACTTCTACTACTGGAACTTAGTAAACTACACTCCCTATGACGTCTATATATTCCCCGAGGTATTGCCTGCAATCGAGAATAAGGTCGTGGACATCATTGCAATGGACTTGATCGGGCTTAGTCATCTGATCGATAACCCTACAGGAAGGGCTCGACCCATGGATGCCATGAACAAGTGAGATCATTATCCCGGAGAGCCCGACTGACGGGAAATTGGTGAGATCATGTCTTATGGTTTACTCCTCCTTCTGGTCGTGAGGTGAGGGATGCCGTCCAACTAACTTTCGGGTTGGTTACCGCCGTTTATGTCATGACATCAAGAGGAGTGAAGGTTTCAATGTCTTTGAAGTTATAGAGTACAGTTCATACTGTTTCTGAGTTTAGATCCTATATTCCTATATTGAGTCATGTAGAGTTGTGTTTTGAGGTCTGTTTGTTTGGAACGATCAATGGCAGTCTTTCCAGACTTGCTTCTACATCTCACCAACTTTGAAGGGCAGGAGTGATATAAAACCTGCTCTTTTCCATTGGCTTCCTGCAAGCCATAAAGATAGAAATCACCAGAGCATATACAATGCCATATAAGGGCAGATACTAAGCATATGCCCTCAGAGCCTGTTTCACCTTGTGCGAGGCAGACTCCCACAACTACGATACCGAAAACGTAGATAGCGGATGAAAAATGAAGACTCCATTCCTAGATTGGAAATGCAATGCACGGAACAGCCTATGTACGAGTCGAATAAACTTAACCGACCGTCCTCAGCTCAGCCCCTGAAGTCCACCCAGCTCGCAAAGCCCGCCGTCATATCCATGAGCAGTAAGCCTCCGAGCCTCTCTCACTTTCCACCCATCAGGCCACCACAGGTAGATGTCTTATGCCTGAATTTTCCACCCCCCGGTAAACCGAATCCATTGCCAAGCAAGTTTAAAAAAACGCGAAAATAAAGAACACGAAGCATGATATCATCCGTACAAGTAGCCAGCCGTAGCTGGTATGCCGTCGTTTGATTGCGGCCGTGTAGAGTCGTCGTCGGGTCTTGCGAATATTTGTTTCAATACCGTAGAAACTCGACGCCGAGTGCGCGGCTCAGGGTGTTTGGGTTTGTGGGTGCGATCCGTTTAAGTGCCGGGGTTGGGGTTCATCTAATTTAATGAATGGGTCAGCGTCTTTGTGTCTCGATTTTTTTGGCACAGTGTGTGTTTCGTAGATCCTCCCGAATCATGTGGTGGGTTGGGGTGTATGTACCTTGCGCTTGCCACCGGTCATGGTCACGTTAACGAAACGGCGGGTGTACAAGATGCGCTTGTAGGCGCGGCCCTTGGGGGTCTTCTTCTTCTCCTGGGGCTCGACCTGTATTCAGTAGCCGTGTTAGCAGGGCGGTTGATGATGAGGAACACGGTTGAAAGGAGACTGTGGCAAACTTCGAGAGCAGGGGGGGGCAGGGGCACTTGCCTTAGGAGTGGCCGACTTGACCTTACCGGCACGGGCGAGAGAGCCGTGAACCTTACCCATGTTGGATGACTGAAGCTGGCGATGGACTTCGAAAAGGAGATGGAGGTGTGGTGATGGAGATGGGCTGAACTGAACGGCTCGACGGTGCAAAAATTGAGGAGTGCGAGTTGTGGGGCCGCTTAGCGAGCCGGATGACTCAGAGTCATGTGATCCAGTCCTTAGTTAATCGGTCAGGTGAGATTATGTCAGCGGAGTGGACCGTGGCGTGTCACGTGATAGCATCACCAGAACTATGAACAACAATGATAATAATCCACAACTCCCGGCCCAGTAGTGTACAGGATATCCCCAAAGCCCTTGTAGATGCAACGCCTATAAAAATGCATTCAACTGCCCCTTTTCGTCTTGGCAGCGGCCTCCTCGCGCTCCCGCTTTCGTGCCAAGTACCGCTCCTTTGCGCTAGACACATCGCCTTCCGTCTTTTTGCTGCGGCTGCGGTCGGCGATTTCCTTCTGTCGTGCAGCCTCCGCTTCTTCCTCTTGTCGGGCACGCTCCTCAAGCTGTTGGGCAACCATTTCTGTCTGGCGAGCGCGCTGACCTGCACGACCGGCCTGGAAACCAGCATTGACACCAGGTCGCGTGGCGACAGGCCGAGAAGCTTGTGCAGCAGCACCCACCGGTGCTTTGGGTTTTGGCGCAACGTTCAAGCCTGCTGATAGCAGTTGTCGTTTGTCAACCACTTGGCCTTCTTCGTTGACGACAATATGAGCTCCGCGAGCATTGAGCTCCGCGGCTTTCTGGTCCTCTGTCTTCTCCGCGGGTTCTTGGTCGGTCTCTCCAGGAATCTCGCCCTCTTTGACGCGTTTGGCGGCTTCTTCTGCCGCTTTGACAACCTCTTTGTGCTGCTCTTCCCCTCGGGAAAGCATATCCCGGTAGAACCCAACCATGCCAGCGTTGCCGTTCTGTTTCCGCCGCTCCTCCTCTTCTTTCTCACGACGCGCCTCTTCTTCTTCAATCTTCCGCAGTTCGGCTTGCTGTGCCTTGTAGGCAGCCGTCACAAACTTCTCCTTGTCGGCGAACTCGTCGCCCTCGGCCTCGCGCTCCTTGGCCAATTGCCGGTCACGCGCGCGTAGTTGGTCGCGCTTCCGAACTTCTGCGCTGCGGAGCAAATTGTCCATATATTTCGGAACTTCGCTCTTATTCGCCGTGGCGGTCTTGTTCGGTTTGGCATGTAAGCTGTCGTACACCGCATCGTAGGAGTAAATCGATGGATCCAGTTCCTCAGCCTCCTCGGCATGTTTCCGACTACTGCGCAGAGTAGATAGGTTCGTAAAGTCTTGTTTCGTACTGGCTGCCTTCTTCGACTGGGATTGATTCAGTCCCATGGTAACTCCTTCCTGGCGTTCTTTGTCTTTTGCCTCGTCCTCGTCCTCATCGTTCGCAAATATAGAGTTCTTGCTCAGCGGTTTGATGCTTGGCTTGCTGCCACTTCCTAATTGCAATTTCCGTTTCGGCGGCGGCCCGGCGGTGGAGGGAGGTTTTGGTTTTGGAGCTGGTGCCTCGAATCCTCCGATTGTGGACACTTCCACGGCGCCATCATCGTTCGGCTGGTCTTCGTCGCCAGAATCATCATCAAATATGGCTTTCTTCCGCTTCTGTCCTAGGGCGTTGCCTGGGTTCGGGCCCGACAGCTTCTTGTTCGGCAGATTCAATCCGTAGGGGAGTTTCGGTGGCATGTTGGGCGAGCCTGCCCCGATGGCTACACTCAAAGCTGAAGTCAACCCAAAAGCGACTGTCAAAAAGGGTCAAGTGGTGTGGCGACCTCGGCAGGGGATTGCGATTGCGTTGATGAAGTTGAAAAGCTCCGGCAGACGATCGGTGATAACGCAAAAACGATCACGTGACTCTGTGACGCTGTTTCTTATGCGAGTTAATTCTCCCTTTGTAATTTCTTTCAACATTGTTTATTTCCATATTGGAAAGGTTACTATGTGAAAATAGCTGTTGTGAAAAGACAGTTCATGTGCAAGCTAGGCGTTGAGAGCAAGATTGTTGAAATATATATTTTCGAGCATAGAATGGTGAGCTATGATGTCGCTTAATTACTGCTGAAATTTAATTAACGTGTCATAAAACCCGACATTCACCATTCTTCATCCTCTCCATCCTCGCCTACGTGTACACGTGCATTGAGGACGGGTGCGTCGATGGTATTTTGCGTTTGTCGACGACTTATTTGGCGCGGTTAGGGAGAGGTACAGTCATAATTTTAGGAGAGATCTCCGTACACATTATTCAGTCATCACAGGCACTTCTCAGAATACATTAGAAACAAAAATCTAGAGCTAAATTACCTCACAACGGAATAACCCTTCAAGCATGTGAACTTTAGGAGATATTCTGAAGAACAGTCTCCGCGGGTGTAAGACCTGCCCACCTCCAGCACCCCTCCCAGAGCTTTTTCTGCATACCAGCATCTTGACTAACTGGCGCTGCAGTGTCCGCCCTCAGGCCGACGTAGTAACCCCTCTTACCCTGAAATGCCGGGTCCACACTCACAGCGGCCAGGTCTCGTCCAGCATCTTCCGTTGTGCGGAATGCTGTCGTGCAATGCTTGAGGACTGGCATGAGGGTGTTGAGCGTCGCCATCAAAATCCTGGCAGATCTCTTCTGCCCTGCTTGAGCCCTTGATGAGGGAAGACCGCCGGGGTCCATAGCTGTTACGGTTATCTTTGATAACTTGGGATCCTGGTGGAATATGTGAGTCAATTGTTTTTGAATGCCCACAGCCAGCTCATACATACCTTCTGGAGTCGTTTGTTGAGGTCGTTGGCAAATGTCACGTTTGCAAGTTTAGCAGTTGCGTATCTCTGGAAACCTCTGTCATGGACCAGGTTCGGTGGGTCCGACGCTGGTTTGACCAGCTCTTCAAAGTCGTCAGGGAAGCATGGTCCAAGCGAAGATAAGGGATTCGGTTTATCGGCATAATGAGTGATGGAGCCGAGCATAACGATGCGTCCAGATGTGGTGTCTATGCTACCGAGCAGCTTCAGGACTAGCAGATAATGAGATAGATGACAGACTTGGAAGGTAGCCTCATAATCATCCGACGTAAACTTCTGCCCTGACTCAAGCGACCATGTGCCAGCATTGCAGACAATCGCTGCGATGCCCGGAAGCTCCTTTGAAGAGATCTGAAGGGATAGCTTTTCAGCGAAGGAACGAACAGCAGCTAGATTGCCGAGGTCGAGTGCTTCCAGGTGGACCTTAGCTTCTGGGTACTTGGACACTAAGCTCAGAAGCTTGGCGGTGTTGGGGTCCTTTTCTGGAGATGCGTTTCGAACAGTGGCTACCAATGTATGGAGAGGATATTTTGATAGGAAGGAGTCAACAAAGCCAAGGGCCAAGGAGCCATTGGCTCCAGTGATGATAACTGTTCCACTCATAGTAGCCGAGTTTGTTAGCTGGAGGTTCTTGATGTGAATAAGGCTGGGAGATGCTGGCTGTTTATATAGATTGAGGAACAGGTCAGTGCAACTGGATTACAAAGGAATCCATATTAACTCCGATGCATTATTTCTAGCAGACACCAAACGCCCCTTTTCGATCGCTAATCTGCCCTGTAGTTGGTAGGCGTCAGTCTTGGCGGGTTGTAGCTGTCCAAGCTAGTTCGGTCTAATTAAGGATTATGACCAGGTAGCCGTGTCCAGACAGAAACCTCAGACGGATTTAAGCTCCTAGATTCCGTTATTCTGGAGGATTGGTTTTGTCCATGCCATAGTAAATGAGGCGATGAAGTTCGTTCCTGACATCCCAGAATTGAGCTATACCGTATTTGGGAGGCGCAATTCTTGGCGAAAGTTCAAACAGCCCCCACGGTTAGTCCACGCTTTATCAGCAGTGGATGTGCTTACCTCTTCCCTGAGAAAATTGATAATGTGCGAGTAGCAGAGATATTGCCCACCATGCCATCGCGGGAATTACAATTTATTATCACAGCTCCCGAAGCTAGCACACCAACCACCTTACAGCGGAGAGTTGCTCGTTCGCACGCTGCACGCTCTGCGCACGCGCAAGAGCGGCGCCTCCGGACTTCACAATACCAGGCTCAGAAGAGGCGCGAAGAGTTGGATGATGCAAAGCGCAGAATAAGCAGGCCAATCGAGGTCACAACTGTACTTCCGGCTTCCCGAAAAGACCCATTCACCAGTTTCGCAAGGCCCTTGAAGCCCTTCGAGCAAATGCTGTTTGATCACTGTATGTTTGACTGAAGCACCAGCTCCGCTGCAGAGATAACAATCCCCAAAGATGTAACGGCTATAATTCCCCTAATGCGCTGCTCCGAGCTCGCGATTGATTTTTCCCAACGCATGACAAGGATATGGGTACCGCATGCGCTAGCAGAAGCAAGTCTTCTGGATATGTTGTTTCTTGCGTCATGCCGCGGTTTATCTGCGAGCTATAATCACCAAAATCAAGACCAGCAAAAACAATTCTTCACCCGGCTAGGGGTTCAATATAAGCTCAAAAGTCTGCAGTCATTGAGAGACGCGATCTCAACGGAGACACCGGTCTATAGTGACTCGACTGTTGCAAAGGCGATAATGCTGGCCTATGATGAGGTTAGGCATCTCCTGTGAATATGTATGTAACAACACTGACGATCGCTAGTTGTTCATCCATGATGAAACCATGTTGAAGTGTCATGTAGACGGAGCTGTTAAAATGATTGGATTTAAAGGTGGTCCTCAAACGCTCGGTTTGGACGGTCTGCTCGAGCACTTTCTTTCCAACCTACTTTGCAAGGTAGTAGGTCAGGTTGGCATTCATGTCAGGATACCCTGGGATGATGAGGTCAGCTCACATTTGAGGCCTTAGCTTTGGACCGATTTAGGAATACCCCATTATTGGTAGCAAAGTTTGAAATCCAAGTGGTGCAGACACAAACCCGTGTGTAGTTCACGAACCACTGTAACGATCCGAACCTGTGTTAATAGACGCTTATCGCATCGCCCACCACGTGACTCTCCTATACTAAACAACCACAGCCTCCATCCTCCCGCACACCCGCGACTTTCTCTCTACTTCAACCCACCAACATGTCATACTACTTCACCATCCTCTCCCCCACCGACAAACCCCTTTTCAATATTGCCTTTGGCACCTCCAAAGGCGGAGGCGATGGCATTGCGCGATTCCGCTTCCCAGACACGGCGCAGTACATGAACCAGTTCATCATCCACTCGAGCCTGGATATTGTTGAGGAAGCTCAATGGACGAATGGGGGGATGTGAGTTCTACCTCTTCCCCATTCCACTATGTCTACACCCACCTCTCACCCTATCCTCATAATAATCCACACCAACGTGACCGCCTACCCTCCATCAACCTAAAACTAACCCCCACGAAAAGGTACCTAAAACACATCGACACCTACCCCCCAGCCGCAGCATACATATCGGCCTTCCTAACGCCCAGTGGCACCCGCTTTCTACTCCTGCACCAACCACCCCAACTCCCCTCCTCGAGCACCACAACTGGCTCATCATCACTCCTCAACGCGTCCGGCTCCGCCACGCGCGCTTCGTCCAATTCCGTCGCGGCCAACCCGACCTCCCCGCAGACGGAGGAGGCTGTGCGTCAGTTCATGAATGAAGTCTACGAAAGCTACGTTAAGACTGCTATGAGTCCGTTCTATAAACAGGGGATGGAGATTCAGAGTCCCGTTTTTAGGGGACGGGTTACTGCGGCGGGGAAGAAGTGGTTATAGTTAATTCTCTTCTGTGGGTGGTGGGTTATGAGCATCAGCATTCCTTTGTTTTGTCTTTTTTGCTGTTCTAGCGTGGCGTTGGGAGGGGGCTTGTTTTATCTGTTGGCATTGCTTGTGGCTGTCGACCCTTTCAGACAAGACACTGGCACGTACACTCTGCATCCGTAAATACCCAACTAAGAGAAGAAAGAAGCTTGTGGATCCAAGTGTAAGAAACAGCTATATTTTTGAACACCGAGTTTAATCATAGCTGATAAGAGTATCAAGTTCAACCGAAATCCCTGTGCGCGCTAAGTCCACCAAGAAGAAAACGCTCTTCAAGTCCCTGTCCAGACAGAAAAATAAAACGCCGTAGTCCTGGCCTGTCCATCCCAAATTCCCTGCGACCTGCGAGCTGAACTAATCCGCTGAATACCGCTGAACAAGAAAAAATAAATGCAAAGAAAAAAAAACCAAAGCTCAGACCCCCATCTGAGGAGCAAGCTTCTTCATCGTGATAGCCTTGAAACTGTCGACGGCATGCACGATATCGTCCAGTTTGGCGACTGCACCGAAGATGCCGCCTTCCATCTTCACCGACTCGATTGTGCCGACGTGCAGCGAGGGCTCGCTGGCAGCAGTGCCGTCTTCAACGACGACACAGTCAAAGCCACGGTCGTTGGCTTCGCGCATGGTTGTGGAAACGCAGACATCGGTTGTCACGCCCGCGATAACCAGGTTCTTGATACCCTTGTTCCGAAGGAGGAGCTCAAAGTCTGTGTGGGCGAAGGCGCCGCGACCTGGTTTATCGATCACCGGTTCCCCGGGCAGAGGATACAGTTCATCCACAGTATCGTGGCCCATTTCACCGCGAATGAGTAGACGGCCCAAAGGACCGGGAGAGCCAATACCAAGGCCCGAGGCATTGTTGCGAGAACGGTACGATTCTCTGCTCGAGAGAGTGGACAGGTCGGGTCGATGGCCTGGAAGATGATTAGTGATGCACCATAGATAATAGAATGTGACCGACCTTCGCGGGTATGATAGACTGGGAAGCCTCCAGACCGGAAGGAGACCAACAGTTGTTGTAATTTGGGGATCAAAGATTGCGCGGCCGAGATATCATAGCCTTGGTACTCCATATACCCGCCCGGCGAACAGACTGTTTTTGAACGTCATTAGCAGTGTACGTCCACAAGGCCATATCATACGTACAATCTTTCTGCATGTCAATAATAACGAGCGCCGTCGTGTACGGAGTGAAGGTCGCGTCATGTGGCCAGTCATATGGGATAGCCGGCAGCTGACCTTTCCGGACCTTGTGATGCGGTACTTGCCGGGACTTCTCAATAACGGGGCCATGGTTATGCGTTGGGTTGAGAACGGTCAACGTCCAGATGCCGGGAGACCCAGCTGCGACCAGCATGAAGGGGCAGTCCATGAGCCGCGACGTGCGCCTCCGTTTCCGTGTCTCCTCTGTCAGGCCGTTCCGAGGACGATAGTGGCCCCCGCGATCGCAGCGGAGCCACACCTTGGCCGTCCGACCGGGCTTCTTCTCTGTTGGGGTGCTCGATGATTTGACGACGACATTGTATCCGTGGGTTTTGCCGTGCTCTTGGACTGCTGCCAGCAGCGAGGACCTGGAAGATGCGGAGATGGTTAGCGGGTGATATTATTTCATTTAGTGATAGAAACAAAACACTGACTTATCGGGATATGTTCCTTCAGGAGGGGGCAGCAGTTGCATAGCTAGTTCAGGAATATCCTGAAGGTCGCTCGGCGCGTCCAGGTTTAGATCGGTGGGGTCGGCCATGGCGAGACCAGTGTGTCTGTTCCGGGTGTGAGCACGGTCGTCACAGCATGCTCGGAGGGCCCGATCTCTTGCCGAGGCAATGTGGAGAGAGTGGGAAGCTCGAGAGTAGTGTAGTTGCGGGAAAGAGAGGATAAACAAGTGCGTGGAAGCAATGGGGCTGACGATCACCCAGGGAAGCAGTGCGTGGGAATAGCAAAGGAAGGTGGGTAAATATGATGATGGGTATGATCCGTAGGGTAGATCAATCAGGCCAGGGCCAGGCAGAAATGGATAACTCACCTCTTCCGGACAGGGGCAACGGATGAGATCCGATGAATGGATCACGATCAGGCGCGGCGGCGATCGGGGCGGCTGGGCGATGCAGTGCCTGAGGCAGCATGAAAGATCAGGTGACCGATTGCGGGTATTCAATCCTTGCAAGTAGTGGCATAAGTAGATATGATGAGCACTTCACCAACGCAATAATAATGACATTGGTTGGAAGTAAGAGACCAAATGAATGAATCCAAAATACTTGTAAGATAGTAGTAAGGTAGCCAGAAAACAGAAATTAGCTGTATCTAATTGTCAATAGCGCACTGCGCGAGGAAACGGTATTCAACTGACAACCCATAAGATACGATTTTTTCTAATCCTTGCTATTATTTCTCTCTTTCCCTCTGATATTTGTTTCGGAAACAACTCACAAATCATATAGTCGCTCCATAGATTCAAGCGAAGTACACCCTGGATGCAAGAGTGGAAAGCTTCTAATTACAGGAAAGAGATTTGGGATCTTGTCGACTAGTATTTGATCAAACCAAACATTCCCGAGATTCCCGAGATCGGTTTCCACAAGCTGCAAAGCCAACATTGGTTCCAGTACTCACTCGCTCTCGGTCCTGACTGGAGGGTCGTGGTCGTAGGGGAAGTGCGTGCGTAGACCGAGCTGTGCCTCTCTGAGCCTCGAAGGACATGGGCCCTGACACCAATGCGTTTTGTTATGTGTACAGTTTAGTATTTGTTTATGATTCCGATTATCGTATTTCGATGTCATTTGATTATGTTTCTTGCCAGGGCTGCTTTGTGGGTATTGGACGGTGGTAGTTGGGGGACTTTGTTGACAGGCAGGAAGTACGAAACTTGCTGTCGTCTATTGTTGATCAAGAATCCGAATTAAGCAAATACGCAGATGGAGCACACATAATATCAAAAGAGAGAGGTCGAATCTACTCAATAATGAGACCGGTCTATAGACCGACTGATGTACCACACTGTATTACCCCCCAATCGGGCTAGCGCACTCGGCCCCCCTGACGACCGCCAAAACAAGCCCCGGCCGATCTAATCATCAATCTGCTTTGCGACACACAACACTTCCCCTTCACCACCATTCTTCCCCCCAGGTAAGTTGCCCTTCCCCCCTCTTTGGAAGACGACACTCGGTATCTACGTCGCCTGTGTTTGCTCCGGCTCTTCTCTCTCTCTTTCGGTGAGGAGTTGACGGTCGCAATCACGCCCACCTGCGTCACCGCCCCCCGGCGAGGGGCTCTTATCAACAACGCACGGTTGTTGACTCGACCACCCACGCAACCACATGCGCCCCGGCGACACGCTGTCCTAAGCATCCGACAGCTTGTCTACCACTTCTGCTTGGTTTTTGCTTCATCTTTATACCTTCTGTTGTCCGGTCATCTTCGTTGCGGCCCGCCCGGTGCCTAACGCGGGAAGATGCCGGCCGCCGACGACTCGCCCCCCGAACACAAACACAGCAGCAGCTTCTACAGAGATGAGGTCGCGCACTACAAGGCTCAATATGAGCAGCTAGAGTCGGAACTAGCCGATTTCCAAACCTCCAGCCGGGAGCTGGAGGCGGAGTTGGAAAAGGACATCGAGGCTTCGGAGAAGCGGGAGCGACAGCTGCAAGAAAAGGTTGATGGCCTTCGATATGAGGTCGACGAGTGGAAGGTATGCTTTTGGACACATCGTATGGATTTGGGCTGGAGCTCACTGTCGTCAGGCCAAGTACAAGCAGTCCAAGTCCGAGGGTAACTCGGCCCTGAACAACCTGCAGAAGGAAATAACCACGCTGCGCGATACCAACCGCACGATGCATTTGAAGCTGCGTGACATCGAGGTTGCCAACGATGATTTCGAACGTCAAGCCCGGAACACGACCTCGTCGCTGGAGGATATGGAGTCCAAATACAATGTGGCTATCGAGCGCGGAGTGATGCTCGAGGAGGAAATCAAGACTGGAGAGCAAGAGCGTGAAAGTCTACGCATAGAGAACCAGCGTCTCCGCGACGAACTCTCCGATCTCAAAATCGAAGCCGAGATTGTACAGGACAGGCTTCGACATGCCGAATCCAACGGTGTACGTCGTCGGAAGCCGGCCCCCTTGTACCGCAGCCCGTCCACTCCCCACACCCTGGAAATCTTTGATCGCTCGCCTGCTGGTACGGCGACCTCTTCACCCGTCTTCGCTACACCACCGGCCAAACCGTCCCTGGCATCGACAGCCGCAACCCCACCGTCGCCGCCTATCTCAGAGTCATCTGCCAGTCTGCGCAAGTCGATCAACGCCACCCCAAGCTTCCCTCGTTCGAGAGCGGCAGGAGCAGAACCAATCACTTCTAGATCTCTCTACAATTCTCGGACTGCGCCGCGCACAACTCACTCCCGAACCCCATCTCTCGCCTACAGCAATGGCCGCTCTACACCAACCTTCAACCCTCGCAGCAGCCTGTCGAGGTCGAGCCTTGCTCGCCCATCTGGACTTCCCAACTCTGGGTCTTTGTATCAAATCCGTGGGCTGATCGGCAAGATGCAAAAGCTCGAGGAACGAGTTCAATCGGCCAAGTCACGACTTCCAGCGCCTTCAGACAGTTCTTCTCGCGGATCACCTCGTGCCGGATCTCGTGCAGGATCTGTTGTTGGTGATAGCCCAGTCCCATCCACTGTGACCGTTCGGAGAACCTCCCGTAAACGGATAAGCGGCAGTAGCTACGGCTCCTCGATTCGAGACACTGAAAGCACGCCTTCATACATCCCTCACAGTCGCCAGTCATTTGGGGCTCGCACCCAAGGTGACAGCCGCCCCAGCAGCCGAACCAGTTTCTCCAGTCGCAGTTCTTTCAGTCAGAGCACCTCTGGAATCCCGACCGCTCCACCCGCTCGGCCTGAAAGTCGATCGAGCCGACCCGGTGCCCGTACGCCCTTAGGTCATTATTCAACGAACCCAACCACGGAGAGTCGACGACCTCGATCGTCACTCAGTAACCATGCGGCTCTTGGAGGCATGACTCACATCGAGGAGGATAACGACTTTTCTACTCCTACATCTCGCCCGGCTCAGGACACTCGCAGGCCGTCCATTCCTGCCACCCCGAACGGCCTAAAGAAGCGCACCACCAGCGGTGCATCCGGGATTCCCACTCCACGAAGCTTCAAGACCAGTATTGGGTCCGGGACCATGCCGCCCCCAAAACCAAAGACTCAGGTTGAAGAATTGGGCGAGACCTATTAAATTGGTGTTCCATTTTTCGTTTCAAGAAGGCGTTGGGGGGCTTGGACATTCGACATTATGGTCAATTGTGAATCGCGAGGAAGGTTTTCCGTTCACCGTCATCTTATTCCGTTGATTTTTCGTTCTCTACTTATGTTCTCCCCAGTTTGATTGACGGGAAGCGTATCTTTATTTTGAGTGCGTTTAGATACCTGGTTATGAGCATTTACCCATTATTCCCCCATTCATGCATTATCCTGTACAGTTGTCCAGTTTCGACTGGTGTTTGTCATGTTTTGTCCCCTTTGATCCTGTTGATGATGTGGCTTCGGGTAGATTCCGGGGCTGTCCTAAGCTGTGTCTCAGCGTCTTACATTTCGTTTTTTTTTCGCCTTGCGGGGCGTGCGACAATAATACCCATGATGTTATGATCATATTCATCCCGTAATTTCCTGATTGACTATCCGGGTGGTAGGTAAATTTAGGCAATCTCGATACAAATCTTCCCCTGATGCTTGCCCGATTCCAAATACTCATAAGCCTCCTTAAGCTGATCCAACGTAAAGACCTTTGGATCAACAACCGGACGAAGCTTATCCGGTGAAGCTTCTATAGCTCGACACATCTCCTCCATCTGAAGGCGATTGCCAACCCCCACACCGCGAGTCGTAAAAAGATTGAGCCAGGTATCCAGCAGGCTTGGCATGGGCTCCTTGCTCTCGCCACCGACAAAGCCAATGGTGCTGATGAGGCCCTCGAGTTTCACACTGGCCATGCTTTGGTTTAATGTAGTCGGGCCACCGACTTCAACCACAATATCAACGCCGTTCCCGCCGGTTAACTTCTTAGCGACAGCACCCCAATCAGATGTCTCGCGATAGTTGATTATATGATCCGCACCAAGGCGTTCAAGCAGTTTCGCCTTCTCGGCCGAGCTCGTTGTAGCAATGACTCTCGCACCGATCGCTTTAGCGAATTGGATCGCAAAGATACTCACTCCACCGGTCCCCTGAGTCAGGACCCATTGTCCCGGCATGAGCTGCTTCCCCGGCAAACCAAAGAGCGCATTCCAAGCAGTTAGCCCCGCACAACTGAGCGTCGCCGCTTCAATGAAGCTCAAGCTCTCTGGCATGGCCACGAGCCCTTGTTCGTCGAATGCTCCGACAGAGCGGAACGTCCCGTCAAGGGACCCGCCCAGTCCGGATTTCAGTGAGAGAGCATTCATCGGCCCTGCCAGATGATGCTGGTTGATTATAGTGACGACTTTGTCGCCGGGCTGGAACCGAGTAACGTGTTTGCCGACGGCCAGGACGGTCCCCGCTCCGTCTGAGCCGGCGACTACATCGGGCTTGAGATCGAAGGGGTATTTCCCCTGTGGGATAAGTATGTCTCGAAACTAAAGATGTGATTAGTCTATACTGAATACTGAATGGATTCGCATATGGATTGGACAAACATTGATGGAGGCTCCTTGTACTATTCATAGATTGTATTCAGTGAGTGGACTGTGTATCCAGGATAACCTCGTTTTGAGAGAATTTAGCAGGAAACATACTCTTGACTAGGACCTGGTTATCGCCAAGTTCAGGGATAGGTTTCTCGCTGTATTTGAGTGATTCCAGCCCATCGTGGCCTACGACAGTCCACTGTTTGGTAGTTTTGGGAATCGATAGCGCCATAGTAGAAATACGGGCACGGCTATGGTATCGTTGAATATTAATGAATGCAAGAAAAAACCATTCATGTGATTCAGGGGCTTATGGGCTGGTTAACGGCATTCGTACTTCCTGGAACCACGCTCACCTACAACCCCACTTCCTGGGATCGTTAACGTCACTCTTTGTTTTGATTAATCAGCTCCCCCTTGATTTCTCTCTAATAACTAAAGCTTTGAAATATCCAGATAATCCAACATCGAGATGTCAGGCATCCCTCAATTCCATAACAACGTATATATGTGAGAACTAACAGTTAAATTTAGATCTAATCTCCTACTTGAAGCAAAGCAGCTCCCTCTAGCTGAGACGCTATCTCTCGGCATCGTCTACGACCACACCAAGCGGCTCGCAGTCGACTTTTGCCCAAAAGAACGGCTCAGGAAGCTCCATTAGCAGTTTCTATTTCTGAAGAGGATGTATACAATGTCCAAGCACCTAAGACATGTTATTTATTTTCGCTTTCCAGTCTGATTGCCCAAGTAAACTCGTAGGTCTTCGTCGCATCTTCAAAGGAAGATAAGATTCGGTTTGGAAGAAGTGCATCTTCCTTGATTCCTTCTAGGGTAGACTTTGATTGGCTATTTGCCTTCCGATCCTGGGAATTGCAAATTGCGGCAAGCTCATTGTAGAAGGGGTCATCTTCAGGATAATAATGCTCGACTTCTTGTTCGTCGTACGGATACCTTTCGGATATAATTAGCATAACATGACTCGAAAAAGATATTACCCAAACAAAGCCAACATTACCTCACGAAAAGCTTCGGAACGCCGTACAAGTCAACGAGTCGCATCTGATACCCGTCGGCTATCACAACAATTTCGTTGGAGTACACAACCCCGTGTAAAGCCACAATATGGCTCAGAGTCCCAATGGCTCCAGTTTTATACTTCCTATTACCACATGTTAGTTTACTATCCAAGGGGATCGAAACGGATTGTGAGCTCACCAAATGGCAGTCGTGGCCCTGGGGATTCTATTCTCGACAGAGATCTTACTCTCATCAATAGCGTCCGTGAAGTGGCTCAACTTGCCGGCGGGCTCATTGTGCTCCAATGCTGTCGCCTGAACAGAATCCAAAATAACCTCACCACCAAGGTAGCGACACAAATCACAAAAGTGCGTGGCCTGCTCAACAATTGGCCCGCCCTGTTTTGACTTGTCCCACCAGTCCGCTTTGCGCATCTTCGAGTACGCTGTCACATAACGCGCAGATACACTCATGACAGTGAGGTTGTTGTCACGGATGAGCTGGACGACCTTCTGGACTACCTTAAGGTATCGTAGCATATAGCCCACGCCCACAAGATTGCCAGATCTGCTCAGATGTTGGGCTACGGCATATGCACCGTCTGCGGACCCGATAGTTACAGGTTTCTCGGCAAAGATAGCCGGTCCACCGCCAAATGCGGCAACGAGCTGAGCCTCAAGGTTGCGCCCCGGCGACATGGACCCGCGGAATTCTGGCGGCGTTGCCAGCATGATGAGATGAACGGGGCCTTCCTTTGTGTCCTCATCAAAGGCATTTATTTGATATGCTGCCTGCTCGATGCTAGTATAATGGCGTGTATCTGCATAGCAACCTTTGGCGGATGAAATCCGCTTACGGTTCATCACCCACTCGAAGCGATCAGAGTTAGGGTCAACAATGCCCACGACGCGTAAACGATCACCCAGGATGCGCTCCAGGTGGGTGCTGTGATTCCAGCGCACCCAGTCGTTGCCAAAGACAATCCCACCGGCACCAACGAAAAGGACGTTGAATGCCGGCATGGTCATATCCGGCTTGCCGTCCGGTGACATGAGCCTTTCGACCTACAATGGAACCAGAAACACGATATCGGGGTCTCTGTTGATAAATGCCAGGGACCATAGCTATGGCTAAAGGATCGGGTCTCTGGGTCCTTGAGGGCCACGAAAACACATGATCTACCCGTATACCAAGGGATAGCTCCTCGGCTCCGGGCTCCGGGCTCCGGGCGTGGAAAACTCATCTGGGGCCCCGCAATGAGGACCCACTAAACTGCGGCTGTCCTATGGATACTCCAAAACTAGATCTCTCACGGCATAATAGCCGAAGGATTTTACTAGGGTAACAAAAAACATACGTCCGGAGCGTGAAGGCCGTGGGCTGCGGACCGTCGAGATCCGATAATCAATTCATTTGTCCTGCTACGCCGAGCCTTGCTCCTTATACTTTTCTTGTATCCTACTCCCTCGAACTTATTGATTTTCTCATGGACACAGAGCATGAGCCGAAGATGGCTGTCGGCCACATTGAACAAACTGATCGACATCATGCTCCCGAGAATGACCCCAAGGGAGAGGAGCATGTCGACCTTAACCACAATGTCTCAGCAAAGTGAGTAGAACGTAACAGACACGTAATGCCCAGCCCAACTCGGAAACTGACACAGTTGAACAGGATTCGAAACCCTTTGGCTCATTTGAGCAAGGTACAGCTCCTTGAAGAGGTTGAACTATTTTCACGCGAAAACGATCTCGAAGATGCACTTTCACTGCTTAAAAAGGGGGCACTTATTGCCCAAAGTGATGATTTCGAAACACTCAATGACCTGGTCGAAGAAGACCGCCAGACCTTGCGCCGTGAAAAGACACACAAATGGTCTCAGACAAAACAACTTTATCTAACCATCGTCCTGTGTTCAATTGGGGCTGCCGTGCAGTAAGCTACTTATTTTCCTCCAGGCGATTACCGGCTTTTTACAAGTACTTATCTTCTAGGGGCTGGGACCAGACAGGCGCCAACGGTGCCAATCTCTCATTCCCACAAGAGTTTGGTATCGATCCCACAACAGGCACACCCAACTACCAAAGAAACGAATGGCTCCTAGGCCTCGTCAACGGCGCACCACACATTGGCGCGTCCTTTTGCGGGTGTTGGTTGTCAGATCCCATCAATCACTACGTCGGGCGACGAGGCACCATCCTTTTTTCCGCAATATTCTGCATGGTCCCAGTTCTGTGTCAGGCCTTTACTCAAAGCTGGCCGGAATTGTTTCTCTGCCGTCTCTTGTTGGGCGTCGGTTGGGGTTGTAAAGCCTCTATCATCCCAGTTTTCGCCGCTGAAAACTCACCTGCTTACATTCGTGGCGGCTTGGTCATGTCGTGGCAGCTATACACAGGTTTGGGTATTATGCTGGGGTTCGCTACCAACCTGATTTTTTACCACGTGGGTACAATCGCCTGGAGACTCCAGCTGGCCTCGGCCTTTGTTCCAGCGGTGCCATTGGCTTTGTTTGTATGTTTCTTGCGCCGAACGATGGGGTATTTGGATCTAATCCCACCTCAATGAAATAGATATACTTTTGCCCCGAGTCACCTCGCTGGTACATGAAAAAGGGCCGGGCAAAAGACGCGTATGCTTCGCTCTGCAGACTACGGAAGACACCGTTGCAAGCCGCGCGTGACCTCTACTATATGCACTCTCAGTTGCAAATGGAGGCTTCGCTCGTGAACCGGACAAGTAACTACTTCAAGCGATTCACTGAGCTGTTCACAATACCGCGCAACCGCCGGGCGGTGGTAGCCTCTTTTGTCGTCATGATGTCCCAGCAAGTGGGTTTTCCCTTCACAACGAGTAAAAGTACGCAAGCAGCTAACTGATCAAAACTCTACTGAACAGATGTGTGGTGTCAATATCATCAGCTACTATAGCTCCTCCATATTCAGCTCAGCTGGCGCCAGTACTCTAGCCGCTCTACTGTTTTCCTTTGGGTTTGGGGCGATAAATTTTGTTTTTGCTTTCCCAGCGGTGAAATTAATTGACCAATTCGGTCGACGAAGCCTGCTGCTAGTGACATTCCCTCTGATGACAATAACCCTGATTGGAACAGCCATGTGCTTTTTCACCCCCGAAGACAGCAAGGCGCACCTGGGTCTTATTGCTCTCTTCATCTATCTATTTGCTATCTGCTATTCCCCCGGAGCGGGACCGGTGCCTTTTACGTATAGTGCTGAGGTTTTCCCTTTGTCGCATCGGGAGGTGGGCATGAGCTGGGCCGTCGCCAGCATCAATTTTTGGGGGTTTGTTTTGTCACTAACCTTCTTCCGTATAGAGGCCGCTTTTACCATCGAGGGCGCTTTCGGCTTCTATGCTGGTCTCAACGTCCTATGCTTCTGTCTCATTTTCTGCTTCCTCCCTGAGACCAAGAAGCGCACCCTGGAAGAACTTGATTATGTTTTCGGTGTTCCCACTGGAACTTTTATACGCTACCAATTCACCAAGGTGGTACCTTACTTTGTGCGCCGTTACTGTCTTTTTGACAAGTCCGCTCGTCTGGAACCACTATATCAACTGGACCACATTACACCGAACTAGAAACTTCTATATGATGCAATTTCTGATATGAAAGCTTTGTAAAGCATAGTCAGGGCCCTTCCATTGAAAGGACGAATTCGATTTTTTTTTTGTCTTCAATGTTGCTACAGAACATTTTTCTTAATCTTATTAGATATCATTCTACAAGCTATTGTTCCCCAATGAACTGATTGCTGTCCTCAAATATTGGCGATATCCCATGCTGAGAGCCAAAGACATCTTCACCATCGCCCCAAAAGAGCTCCTCGTCGAGGAAGGGCAAGGAGCCTGCCTGGGGCCAGCCCGGGAACATATCTTGCAAACCATTGCCACCAAATGAATTATAACTCATGCTGGTAAATTCTGTTGTGTCTACCGAGTTGGAAAGGCCTAGCTCACCGGGTCGGTAACTGGGAGCCGAAGGGCTCGGAACCTGTCTGGCACGAACATCACCGAACCACGCCGTAGGGCTAGCTTTGCGTTTTTTCTGTAGGTTACTATGTGCCTCCAGCGGACGAGCTGGTGATGTCGAGTTTTGGTGCTGTAGACATTGCTGAACAAACTCTTCCGTGATCTCGATGCATCCTCCTGCTATGCGAAGGAGCTTGCCACAGTACGAGGACGGATCATCTGCTGAAGTCACGAATCGCAACATACTGACTAGCTCTTTTAAGCGTTCAAGATCGTCCAAATTCTGGCCCGCAAGTGGATATGTGAATATAGTTGGAAGGATCTCAAAAAATGCCACAAAAGGGCGCCATTGGAACGGACTGTTTTCGAGTCAGAATATCGAGAATCCAAGAATAACTCGAATTGTGGTTTCTTACCGTCGCAGAACCATAAAGCCACCAACAGTCGTTCGGGCAGCACGGATTTTGGAAATCGTTCGAATGCACTGCCTTGCTTCTAATAGGCGTCGCGCATATTTAGAAGGTTGACTGCTCCGCCGTAACACCATAAGCCGTGCATGATGGACAAAATGTTTTTGTTCCAGCCGCAAGAACTGCCAGGCACGATGATGCATGGAGTCCGTCTCATTCTGGGAGACATTATCTATAGCACGTTGAAAGATGTCAAGGTCTCCAAGAAGCTCATCCACGTTGTACTCTAAACTTTCTAGAGAACCACGTGTGGCTGCTGGAGAGTAAAGCTTGCCGTATACTTTGCCGACAATGAGACTATAATCAAGGCGGAGCCGATAATCGTATGTTGCGTATAGTGGATAGGCAACATCACAGTCGTGATTGTGAAGATTGGGTGGTGTTCCAAGTAGCATTGACACATCCTTGTCGACGATGAACAAGCAGCTGAATACTCGGCGCCGGTCGTCGATATCTTCCGTAGTCAAATCTGCAATGCCATATCTCTCCTCGTGCAAACCCATTGCTTTAGCTACGAAGCAAGTTTGGTTAAGCAAATATTGCGTGACGTGTTCCGAGAAATACTTTTGCGAGATCAACGTCTGGCCACCTAGTCAATAGTGAACTCAAAGTATATTTTCCATAAGATTGTAAACTTACCAGGGCCAATAGCGCTTGAACATTCACCAGCTTTGGCGTAAGTAGTTGGTGTATAACGGAAAATGACCGTCGAATATTAATAATGAACGGCTTCTCAAAATGTGTGATAGAGACGACGTCGACATCACTACTTGGCCGATCTAGAGGCATGTATCGTCCCACAAAGCAAAACAAAATCATGTAGTTGAACAATATAACCCATGCAGGTTCCACCTTCTCAGCTGTCACTTCTGGTGAGTATTGTTCCTTAATGGCATTGAGGCACGGCTGTCGTCCCATGATTGGCACAACAGACGAGATATGTCGAAAGTAGGGTTCGAAAATGGGGTCCAACAATCTTTTCGGAGGAAGAAGCAGGGGGTTTCCATCACTGGAAAGGTCCACTTGAGATGTGAACGTTGAAAGCGAAAGTCCATGATAAATATTAGACTTGAAAGCCAAAAAGGCGTCCAGCGGAGGCTGTGGCGATGATTGCTCCTGTGGCCTCTTACGGCCGAGGATATCTCGTAGGGAGGCTTTCGGTCTCATTGCATCTAGATGCAAATCGATCTTATCGTCCGCATCTTCAAAGAGAGATATCAAAGCACTGGTCCCCATAAGACGATTGGTGCCTTTGCCATGGTGAGCAATTTGGTCCAGCACAGCTACATCCTGGCTACCAGACGGACTTGATGGAATAACCACAGACGATAGCGGTATCGGTGTATCCAGATAGCGATGCTTCTCGCCACTATTTGTTGGGTTATTGTGCTGCTGGGGAGGCAGACCTCGGAAAAACTCATCCAGTCGGTGATGAATGAGGCTGACATTCTTTTCCAAGTCACCGAGGCGGTTGCCAACTTGTTCGAGGTCATTGACCCTTTTTTAATATCTGTCAATCTTCCAAGGCCTTACATATTATACAAGAGATAACGTACAGTTTGTTGGTTTGGTTAGGCTTTTTCCCTTTGTTTGACCTTTCACACTTGATCTTTGCTTTAACACAGTTGGAGCAAGACGGCAGTTCCCGACCGCATCCAATTTTCCTGACCCTACACTTAGAAATTGTCAGGTACACAAAAATTTCCTTAGAGCACCTGCATGAACATACCTGGTCGCATGCTGGATCATGCGAGGTAAAAACCTGGAGGACTTAGGACTCAATAACAGCAGAAAGTACGGGGTCTCCCTCACCTTAGCCTCCTTGGGCTCTAGCTCCGGACTGGCATGTTGTGATGCCATGCTCACATCTCAATTCACATGGTGTTGTCTCGTAACGGGGGGACGGACGGTGTTTCCGGGTAGAAAAGTCCTCGAAGGGAAATGCTCCACTTCGCTGCGGGGTCCGGACTCCGACACCCGGCTGCATAGAGCGCCTCTGATGGGCCCGATACTATGTGATGGATGAATCGCTAACCCGAGCGTTAATCATTACTTTTTTTTTTTCTGGCCACCAATCATCCTTACTTCAATACCAGGAGCATTTTAAACAGTACAATATTCGAAGGCTCCGACATCAGCCAGCAATTACAACTGCATTCGCGTCCCCCCATCTACTTGACTATGCATGGACCACTCTTGCGGCTCCGATGTGGAGTGAACTCATATGCCTGGGGGAAGAAGGGAAACGACTCATGTGCGGCTAGATATGCTGCTGCTACTGCTGCTTTCTCGATCAAGCCTGAACAACCATACGCAGAGGTTCGTGAATACCAGATTGTTGCTTTCATGGACCCGAGGCTTATCCCAGCCTAAATTCGCTAGCTATGGATGGGCACTCACCCTTCAAACCCGTCTTATGATGTTTCCACTTCTCAGACGCTTCTCCAAATTATCAAAGAGGAAGACAGTCTTCTGTCACCATCTATCGTAGCCCAATATGGCCGCGAGCTTCCATTCTTGTTCAAGATTTTGTCAATCCAGGATGCGCTTTCAATACAAGCCCATCCCGACAAAATACTAGCCAAGCAGTTGCACGCCTGTGATCCAATCAACTATCCTGATGAAAATCACAAGCCCGAGATGGCGATTGCCGTGACTCCCTTCGAGGCCCTCTGCGGCTTCAGGCCGTTGGATGAAATTACCCACTTCCTCGAGCAAGTACCGACACTCAGAGCCCTTGTTGGGGAGGACGAATCAAGTTATTTCCAAACAGCCGCCGCCATGTACGACAAGAACATGATCCATGATGCTAGGGAAGCAGACAAACAGGCCCTACACAGGGCTTTTAGCAAGTTAATGAATTCATCACAGTCATCTATTGCATCTGCCTCGAAGGCCTTAGTCGAATCGGCGAAGATTGAAGGCGATAGCTTTGCTGGAGGTGGGGTGACTTCAACTTCAGGTGCGGTTTTATCTGAGTTGATTGTTCGACTTTATGGGCAGTTTGGGCCCGATCATGGCCTGTTCGTACTGTTCTTCACCAACTTTGTCACCTTGCCTCCCGGCGGGGCATTATACCTTCAGGCGGACGATATCCACGCTTATATATCAGGGGATATTGTTGAGTGTATGGCGACATCGGACAATGTCGTCCGTGCAGGATTTACAGCACGCTTCAAGGATGTGCCAACGTTGGTCGATATGTTGACCTACAACTACGCACCAATCGAGGAACAAGTTATGAAGCCAGCTCAATATCTCGAGGCTGCTCTGAATGAAAAGGCAGCCAGTAATGGTTCTTTTATCACCATCTATGATCCTCCTATTGACGAGTTTGCCGTTGCGCGCTCTGTCCTTAAAGGTCAAGGTGCTGCAGCGACATACCACCATATGAACGGTCCAAGCATTATAATTTGTACAAGCGGAGAAGGCAGTATTACCGTTGGCTCCATAACCATGGATGTTCAAGAAGGCTACGTCTTTTTTGTTGGTGCTGCAGCGGAGTGTGCTCTTGAAGCCCAGAGCGATAATGAAGACTTCGAAATGTACAGGGCGTTCTGTGAGATCAAATAATAATGTGAGCGCGCAAATGTTCTCTTCGAAATAGACCAGCAAAAAGTAAATGATCGGACTACCGGTATTAAGGTCATTAAGTTCTTCTGTTTCCTAGGACTCTATATACGTATCCAACGCCTTGTTTAAGATGATGCCAATTCTATCACCACTATGTTTTTATTTCCACTCAATTTCCGCAAATTGATAAAGCAACGACCCATACCAAGAAAAATGTCAAGAACTCATGGAGCCGAGAGGCCTGCCCGGAGTCCGGGCTCCGGGACCCGCCCGCTCACCTCGTGCGGGGTGTGCCGCATTGCTGTATCCCGTATCTGGATGCAAACCATTGGCTTCAGTAGCAATTGGGGCTGTGTAATCAGGAATTGACCCTTGGTCCCTACTCCACTGTAGTGGGCTGGTTGCAATCTCTTTTCTCGGGCAACATTGGTTCAGACCAAGCCCACCTTAGCTATGAAATACAGCGCATATCCCGACTGACGCAAGGTGGGGGACCTCGAAAATTCATCCACCTCAGAAGTAACACTTCGTTTTCTGCTTTCTCACACCGACCCTCTACATTGATTTCGATTCACTTATCAGAATTTAGCGTTCGTCTCTTTTCGCCAACATGGCATCACCAAAACGCCCCAACATCCTCTTCGTCATGGCGGACGACCATGCCGCCAAAGCCATCTCAGCATATGGCGCGGGAATTAACAACACGCCACACCTTGACCGGTTGGCCAAAGAGGGCATGCTTTTTAACCACTGCTATGTGACTAACAGCATCTGCACTCCATCTCGAGCGGCGATTCTCACCGGTCAACATAACCATGTCAACGACGTGATGACGCTGGACAGTGCAATCAACAGCCGGCTTCCTAATGTGGCCAAATCGATGCGGACTGGCGGTTATGCCACAGCCATGTATGGGAAATGGCACATGGGAGAGGGCAGGGCCCATGAACCGTCTGGGTTCGACGACTGGGCGGTCATCCCTGGTCAGGGTGAATACTGGGACCCGGCTTTCATCACCAAGACTGGTATGGCCAACCGTCCGGGTTATGCCACCGATATCATCACCGACTTGAGCTTGGAATTCATTAAGAAAACCCGTCAGGAAGACCCGGACAAGCCCTTCTTCGTGATGTGCCAGCACAAGGCACCCCACCGCAGCTGGGAGTGCGATGACAAACACAAAGAGCTCTACAAGGACCCGATCCGCTTGCCTGACACTTTTACCGATGACTACAAGAACCGTGCTCGCGCGGCCAAGGTTGCAAAAATGCGTGTCAGCGACGACCTCACTTACTATGACTTGGGCTTGGTCCAGCCTGACGGCGGATCTAAGCATGGTCTTGGGGAGAAGATGACAAACACTTGGTTCTTCACAGACCGCAAAATCAAAGCACCAGAGGATATCACCAAACTCAAACTCATCGATAAGGAAGATGGGACTGTGTTCACTTTCAAGAGTCACACTGAACTTACCGAATTCAAATTCCAGCGCTACATGCAGCGATATCTCCGCACCATTCAAAGCATCGATGACAACATGGGCCGCATGCTTCAGTACCTTGAAGATGAAGGTCTCGCTGACAACACCGTTGTGATCTATACTAGCGACCAAGGGTTCTTCCTCGGTGAACATGGCTGGTTTGACAAGCGCTTTATGTATGAAGAGAGTTTCCAGATGCCATTCCTGATCAAGTACCCCAACTTGATCAAGCCCGGCACTGTTTGCGACGACATAGTTTGCAACGTGGACTTTGCACCTACGTTCCTCGACCTCGCTGGGTTGAGAGTTCCTAGCTACATGCAGGGAGTGACCTTCAAGAGTCTGCTCCAAGGGACAACCCCTGAGAGATGGCAGCAGGTTGCGTACCACCGGTACTGGATGCATAATGATATGGTCCACGGCTGCTATGCCCACTACGGAATCAGGAACAAGCGCTACAAGCTGATCTACTGGTATAATGACGGCTTGGGCATTGAGGGCACAGGGCCTGCCGATGACCACAAAGAGTGGGAGCTATTCGATTGCCAGGAAGACCCGCTCGAGCTGTTCAACTGCTACAACGACCCCAAGTATACTGATGTCGTCAAAGAAATGACTGAGCTGCTTGAAGACAAGATGGCGGATATTGGAGACGTGCCTGTGCACTTTGGACATTGGGCTGCGTCGGAAGGCGTCGGACCTCAGATTGGTACCGGATCTGGTGAGGTTAAATATTAGATCCACTCGCTTTCACTATGTTCCTCATGGGCAAGGCCAGTTGCAGAATCGATTCGAAGCTACATTGTATATCAAGAGAAAGAACCTATGGATGTGAATAAACTCACTCGTAATGTCTTTCACTTCATCAATCCAAGATTTTTTGGTTGTCTATTGCTTCACATCGAGCAAACTCTCATATTGATTAGCTGAACCACGTCCTTAGGTGTCTCCTTCATTGAAGTCGCTGATTCGGTTATGTGGAGAGCCAGAACCCTCCATGTGAATGCGGTCTGGTTTAACTCCCAAGGCCTCCAAACTCTGGCTCTAAGCCTTCATAAAGGGCTAGAGCCCGCAGAAATAGTAGTCCGTGTCCGGAAGAAGGACCTAATCTTTGAATTTACCCAAGTCCACACGTTCTATATAATCATAGTCCAGGCCTTGCATATAATTTTCTGTGGCATCTTCATTGAACACCAAGCGGCGACGAATTTTCAGCAACAATCCCCACCAGATCATGCTTCATGGCGTGAACATGGCCATCGCGCGCCGCATGGACAAACATGATTTGTCGCGACTGGCCTTGCTGATTAACGATGCTCTTCGGCATGGACATCATAACCGTAAGTCCCACATCACCGCTAAGTAGGACTGGCGGGGTGTTGGCATTGATATCAAGCACGAAGTCACTGAATGCCATGCTCACATCCAACTAAGCGCCTTCGGGAAGAGACTCATGAAGGACGTTCGAAATGCGCCCGGCTCACTTTGAATCGGCAGCAAATTCACCTTTGACAGGGATCCGGAAGTGGTCCCCGCTCGGGACGTCAGACAGAATGTACTGCCGGGGCTGGCATGAACCTAGCTCGGGAACGTAGTGGCGCACGCTAACAAATTGGCTGGAACTGTATGGTGGCAGGCCGCCCTTCCATGTTCTTGAAGGGCCGGGATTGTAGCCTTAACAATCTCTTTTTGCTGTGTGGTGAGTCCCTTGCTAGGAACTGATGTATAGGATTTATATCGAAAACAACGTGAATCCGACACGCCAGAGAAATGTCTGAGTCGGCAATTGAAGAATAGCTCTCAAATATGCTGCTGGTTGATCAGAGATCTGCCCAGCTTTGCAGGATGTCCAGTTAATTTTGAGGGTTACGAAATTGAGTGGTGGCGTTGGCCTCTGCCAATGCAACACGAGGATACCGACTCTGGCTAAATAAAAAAGACGAGAACAATTTGACAGGCAAATTGTATACAAATATATTAAAGTTGTGTTCTATCTTGCATGGTACTTTTTATCCCCTTGGGATACGTCTGTTTAACGAACTCGAAGATCCCTTTTTGCCAATTTCGCATGTTTGGCTATTCAATTCCTCGCGTCGACTCCAAGCCAGAGAGGTGTGGGGATGACCTTTTCCAAAAGAGAGTTATTGAAGCTATTTGGAGGTCCGCAATAGGCTCTCCGACACTGACACTTCGGGCACCAGCAATGTGCTATATTTATAAACAGGAACGACTTGGACAAATATCCCCAGAGATGTCGTTCGTTTCGAGGTAAGATATCACGCATCGCCTTCTTGGTGCGGGCGCTATGGGTTTGAGCCAAGGGACCTAAGCTCTAGCTCAATGGTTCCTGGGGGCCAAGTTCTTAGTGCAGCTTCGCTTTGGAGCTTGCCGTGTTGGTGGCACTCAGGATCGTTATCTACTAGGGGCCATGATGCGGCCAACTTTGCCATGGGATCATCATTGAACACTCATTAGGTGGTATCTTGGGGAGCGAGAGGCATTGAGCATCAAAATAGCTAGGCCGCCTGTTTTATCACTCAAGCTATGCAGACGTGGGCCTCTTGTGCTAGAGAGTGTATCAAAATGAGACGAATAAAATCGCCATGTGTCTGACTTTGTAGAGAAGTCAGCGCATAGGTGAAACAGCGACAGAATTCTTAACCACGACGGCAATAGTACGTAGAGAGATCGATGGAGATGAAACGGAATCAGGGGCCGGGGTCACCTAATGATTTTCCTCGTGTCTAAATTTAAATTCTTTCAGCCCCAACCCTAACTGGCCCTAAATCCGACTGACTACATAAGCTCGGGCCGGATGCGGTAGGCGGGCCAAGGGTCTGTTGGTGGCTGGTAATCCTGTGGGATCGGATCTAGGGCGTAGTTCCTGCACTATTCCACATCCACACAAGTACCCCGTCCCTAGGTTTGAAGTATCGGCATCAATGGCTCTTTTAAAGCACACATGCTCCCTCTCAGATAAATAGAAAAGGTAATTACACTGGTTGAAATTGCGGTCTTCGGGTTTTTCTTTTTGAATACGGCTTTCTACGATTAATTTTGCTTGCAATCACGACAGCGCGTTTCTCATCTTATTGCAGTCCTACATCTATTCGCTTTGGGCATTTCGTAGGAATTTTGATATTGCAGTCCGGAAGCAACACTGTCAATAAATCGCCCTTAGCCCGACTCTATACCTTCTATTCATTTTGATTGTTTTCTTTCGGCTGAACAGCAACATATCAACATGAAGTTCACTGCTTTAGTTGCGGTGGTGTCGCTTTTGACAGTTGCCCAAGGTAGCAATGCTGTATGTCCTGCGTGGTTTTGTTCAAGAAAGTATAGTTATGCTCACAGTTTAAGTCCCAGAGCTCTGTTGAAAAAGTGTCCTGGAAGGGTGCTGAAATACTATCATGGAGTGGCGTTGAAACACTGAAAGTCTCTCCACCCGTTGCCTCAAGGTCAACAGACTCGTCGCCCCCTCCATCCGTCGACTCAACTCCAACGCCTTCGATGTCCACTTCGTGCAGTACTTCGCAATCCACGTCGACTGTGAGCCCTCCGTGGACGCCCTCCGCGTCTGCCTCGCTCGTGACTTCCTCCACTAGTCCGTCTTATTCGGTGTTGACGACATCCACACCAACCAGCCTTCCCAGATCATCTACTACTTCAACTTCAGTCTCCTCTGCGGACCAAGGGTCGACTGCCACTGTACTGACTTACACCACCACCACGATCTGTCCGATGACTTCCACCATTACCTCGGATTCAAGCACGATCACTTCAACCTACAGCACACTCTCCACTATCACCGTTACCTCAACCGTTGGGGTTCCCATCACCCTGCAAACCAGTAGTAACCCTACCGCTCCTCCCTCTGAGACTACGCCTGCTCCTGAGTCTATCGTCACCTCAGTTTTCCAGGAAACTACGCCTGTTTCTGAGCATATCGTCACCTCGGTGCACCAGGAAACTGAGCCTGTTCCTGAGACTATCGTCACCTCGGTGCACCAGGAAACTACGCCTGTTCCTGAGCCTACCGTCACCTCGGTGCACCAGGAAACTACGCCTGCTCCTGAGCCAATTGTCACCCCGGTGCCGCAGGAATCTACGACTACTGTTGTGACATACGAGACGCTTACTACAAGCACTGTCACTGCCACTATTACCTCAGACTTAACCACAGTCACGTCAACATACAGCACTGTCTCCAAGGCTACCACGACTTCAACTTTGACCATTTGCAATCGGTGCGGATCTTCGGCCCCTACCGTCGCCGTTTCACAACCTGGAGCCGTCATCTCGTCTGATAGACCTTTTACTGATATACTCGTGGTTGGAAGCTCGTCCACTTTCACTCAGGTGTTTTGGACTGGAACTCCACCTGTAGCATCGACCATGACGAGCACAAGCCAGCCCAGCCCCACCATTGAGGTACCAGTTAACCCTCCAGCAGGTCACACTAATATGGCTTCATCTGTGAGCATCTCCGTTAACCTCTGGCCAATCTTGATCGCACCTCTGTTTTCCCTCATGCTATAAAAGTGCATTCACGAAGAGTCGACTATGTGTTTTATGGTTTACGTTTTGCGGTTCCTTTTCTTTTGAATTTTGAATTATGAATTATTTTTTGTTCATCTCTTCATAGATTGAAGTTCGTATCTTACCTCTTCACGCTGTGCACGTCAATTCTTTGCATAAACCGGTGATTATTGCGGCCAAGCTTATCAATAAAAAGCATTGCCAAGGCTCCAAAAAACATTAGGGAAGTGTTATTACCCGAGGCTGACGAGTCTGTCTGGCCAAATGCTAATAGAGTGCGGAAGATCATCAGAGAAAATGCAGCTATTTCCAATGCTTGAAAATAATTGCTTCTACTTTCCCAGGTCCCAAAAAAACAGCGTTTCTTAGTTGGCTCTGAATCAATAGAAAAGAGTTAATCGAGATATAATAGAACTGATTCTTCATTCAAATCTCCCTTCACTACTCATCTAGTTCAGCCTCTCCATTACTTTAAGCAAGTCAGCCATGACAGCCATAGCCGTGATTTCGCCGCCTCCACCGCCACCTTTGAGAATCAGTGGAGTATCACCGTAGCGCTTAGTATATATGCTAATAATCTGGCTCCCCTTAAGATTGGCGATAGGGTTGTCCTTGCTAAAGTGCTTTAGGCCCACCTTGATGGCCTTGGTGGGTACATCAATGCTGCCAACATACCGCACAACCTTACCCTGCTTCCGAGCCTTATCTTTCAAACTGTCCATCTGAACATCAAACCTAGGTAGCTGGTCCATAAAGTCTGCAGCAGATGGCAGCGACGCCAGCTCCACGGGAATCAGCGACTCAACAGGGAAAGAATCCGGGCTCGCAACGTCCAGACCAAGGACCCGCGCGAGGATCGTCAGCTTCCGCGCAAAATCCATGCCGTTCAAATCATCGCGCGGATCCGGCTCCGTGTGTCCTATTTCCCTGGCATGTGCCACGAGAGTGCTCCACTGCCCATCTGAGCTACCATGCGCAGGCATAAATTGGTCAAATAAGAGCGAGAGTGACCCGGACAGCACACCTTCGATCCGAATAATTTCATCACCCGTCGCTATTAGATCTCGGAGTGTTGACAACACCGGGAGGCTTCCGCCCACCGTGGCTTGGTGGTACACAAGCGCATGTCCCTGTGCCGCCGAAGCGAAAATGTCGTGCCATAGCGAAACGTTCGAGGAGAATCCTTTTTTATTAGGTGTCACCACGGATATGCCCTTCTTCAAGAAAATAGGGTACGCCTGTGCCAGAATGAGGTCGGTTGTAGTATCCACGAGAATAGCACGGCCTGGAGCAGACGCGAGGTACTCGGCCATTGCTTTTGGCGAGAGAGCGTGGCCAGTCTTGATGAGCGAAGGCGTTGCCGCGGCAGTTGTCCAGTCAGTGGCAGGGATGCTTGGCGAATCATCTTGCTTCGGAGACAACAGGGTTTGTGATGAGCGAGAGAGCAGAATGAGCTTGGGTGCATTGGGAAGTCGTCCAAGCTGTTCGAGAAAGGCACTGCCCACGCCGCCAACACCTTTTACGTGCCGTTAGCCATAGCATTGAAAATTTCGAGATATGAGAAGCAACGGACCGACAACGCCAAGATAAATGGGGCTAGCCATGAATATTATTTTTAGACTAGCTCCTTCGAGTGATAACAATGAGTTGGAGTTATAGAATATCGAAGGAGGTGATCTCAGAGAAATATATATTCACCACAGAATATGGCGGGGTTGCCGGGGAATTAGAGAAATTTTTGTCGGTTGTTGAATCAAGCTAAGCCCGCGCTGTGAGCCACCATAGTGTCAATTGCCCGCCTGCTTCAATTTTCGTCCAATTCATAAGGTGCCTAAGACCAGAAAAAGCGGTGATAGATTCTTCGAACCTGCGGAGTGGACATTCGTGCCCCAGGCCACAAGGCATACAAGCGTATGAACTCGGGGTCTGAATTAGGTTTAGCCCAGCTAGTATACATTCAGTATTCAGACCTTGACATCATTTCGTATCTCACTGTGATAAAAAAACATGAAAGCTCTCCTAGTCAAAGATCCGCTCTGCACGCGCCAGAGCCTAGCCAACGACCTCCGCACTCTAGGCATCAAAAAAGGCGAAATTATCCTCCTCCACTCCTCCCTAAGCTCCTTGGGCTGGGTCAGCGGTGGCGCCGAGACCGTTATCCACGCCCTACTCGACACCCTCAGCGACACAGGCACATTAGTAGTCCCCGCACATTCAGGAGACAACTCCGACCCCGGGAAATGGCAGAACCCCGCCGTGCCAGAAGAATGGCACGCCACGATCCGCGACACAATGCCTGGCTACGATGCACGGACTACGCACACGTGGAGAATGGGCGCTATTGCAGAGACGGTCCGAACTTGGCCTGGTGCTGTTCGGAGTGCGCATCCGCAGACTTCGTTCGCGGCTGTGGGGTGCAAGGCTGCTGAGTTAGTGGCCGATCATGCGGTTGATTGTCTTCTAGGGGAAGAGAGTCCCCTCGCCCGATTGGAGGCAGCTAATGCGCGGATCTTGTTGCTCGGTGTGGGCTTTCAACAGTGCACGGCGTTTCATTTGGCGGAATATCGTGTCTCGACTACACAGGAGGATGTTTCGTTTGCGGTTTGTACTCCTCATGGTCGAGAGTGGGTGACTATTCAGGATACAGCGCTCTCGGATGATGGGTTTGACCAACTGGGGCTAGACTTTGAGCGAGAGAGACCCGGCGTCAAAGGGACCATAGGTGGTGCGTCCGCGCGGTTGTTCTCCTTGCCCAGTGCGGTTGACTATGCTCAGTCGTGGCTGCCTAAGCATCGCTATGGGATGGCGGAGTGATGATGATCCTAAGCAGATGTTCAACTGTATAGTTTCATCTTCATGTAACCAAGTATTCCGTCGTAGTTACATCGTCTACCATAGTGGGTCCCGAAAAGCTCGCGACGGTGGCAACCAATAGGAGGCCTTCCGGCCTTCCATGTCTGTAAAAAGCGATCCCCTACCGGAAGCGGGAATCTCAACATGTTCGACAAAACGATTTCAGAGGCCACTGAACCACCATGCAAATCTTCGGAGTTTATCCTTATGATGAACAGAGGCGGCTGTCTCACTTTGGCCCCCTCATAATGATCGAGGCTGTCCAGGGTTGCCGGGTACCCCGAGCACGTCATGAGCCACAAGAGTGAGGATAGATGGTTCAATTCGTACCTAGGGTTTGTCTAGAGACCCAATGGGCGATCGATAGATTGAAAATAATATTCAATCTGCTCGTGTGAGATGTTGCTGCCGCTCCGAATCAACACAGTTCTCGGCCCGCTTGTCAAAACGGCCAGGCCGATCCGCAAGAAGATCGGAGGACGATCGGGATCGCAAGAATCCAGGGAGACCGAGTCCACCGTAGGTCCATGAGGTGTAGCAGAATAACATCGCCCTCTCCGGAGCACTACGAACGACACCATCATATAAGAAATAAAAAAAAACCGTCGTCATCACTGTCCCGACGACCTTCTCGGGCAACAAGTGAAAATGGTGGGACAGAGCCAGTGGGGCCCAACAAAGGGAGTTGGGGAAAAGCGTGCCTGTCGCAGGGGCCAGGTACCGCCCCGTACAATTTACTATGCATCGGTACTTCCACCCCAGTTGGGACTGCTCCACCCGGTGAAAATCATCCTCATCAATTTTCTCTCTCTTTTTCTTCGGGTCTTCCTGTCCGCTCTGTAATTCTACCATTATCCTTCCCCCTTCTTCGGTGAGTGGCCCAGCTGTTGCAACCCTTTGCCCGTTTGCGATCGAGTTCGGACACATTCCGCTTTTGGCCCGCGCCTTTTTTTTCTCCGCTCAACACTCGCCGTGCTTTTTCGCGTGCTAACCATCACTTTCGGTCTTCCCAGAATATCTCCCTCTCTAATTCCTGTCCGTGACAGCCCGGGCCCAGTCCGCCAATTCCCTCTTGTATATTACTGCGGACACACCTCTCCCCCTTTCCTCCCCCAACAACAGCGCTGTCAAACTCCCATTGCGCCGAAGCATCGGGGGATCCTGATCCTGCATGGGAACGGAGCACTGAAGCTTAGTCGTGCATCATGGCCGTCACAAACGGCAACACGCCAGCAAATGGCAACACGCCAGCAAATGGCCACGCCGACATCCCCTCACATTTCATCGGCGGTAACAGTCTCGAGGTTGCGCCGCCGAGCAGTGTGAAGGACTTTGTCGCTAGCAGCGATGGCCACTCCGTCATCACTTCCGTGAGTAGCAAACTTGATCTACAACGAAGCACATTGACTAATCCTCTTGCCTCGGACAGGTCCTGATCGCGAACAACGGTATCGCCGCTGTCAAGGAGATTCGATCAGTGCGGAAATGGGCCTACGAAACCTTCGGCAACGAGCGCGCCATCCAGTTCACTGTGATGGCCACTCCCGAGGATCTGCACGCCAACGCCGACTACATTCGTATGGCGGACCAATACGTGGAAGTTCCCGGTGGAACGAATAATAATAACTATGCCAACGTCGAGCTGATCGTCGATGTCGCGGAGCGGATGGACGTCCACGCCGTGTGGGCTGGATGGTAAGCATATGAGTTTTGAGAGAAAAAAAACCTAGGCTTATTCAATTCGCAGGGGTCACGCTTCGGAAAACCCGCGGTTACCGGAGTCTTTGGCGGCGTCGCCCAAGAAGATTATCTTCATCGGCCCACCTGCCTCCGCCATGCGCTCGCTGGGAGACAAAATTTCTTCCACCATTGTCGCACAGCACGCCGGTGTGCCCTGTATTCCCTGGTCCGGAACAGGTGTCGACGCAGTCAAGGTCGACAGCAATGGTATCGTGACGGTGGAAGACGACGTGTACAGCCAGGGCTGCACCTATTCCCCCGAGGAGGGTCTCGAGAAGGCCAAACAGATCGGCTTCCCCGTTATGGTCAAGGCCTCCGAAGGTGGTGGTGGCAAGGGTATTCGTAAGGTCGAAAATGAGGCAGAATTCATCTCCCTGTACAACGCTGCCGCGAACGAGATTCCCGGATCGCCCATCTTCATCATGAAGCTCGCTGGCAACGCTCGGCATTTGGAGGTCCAGCTGCTGGCCGATCAGTATGGCAATAACATCTCTCTTTTTGGCCGTGACTGCTCCGTTCAGCGCCGTCATCAGAAGATTATCGAGGAGGCGCCTGTCACCATCGCCAAACCTATCACGTTCCAGGCTATGGAGCGCGCCGCCGTCAGCCTGGGCAGGCTGGTCGGCTATGTCTCTGCCGGTACTGTCGAGTACCTGTACTCGCACGCCGACGACAAGTTTTACTTCCTCGAGCTGAATCCCCGTCTCCAAGTCGAGCACCCTACCACCGAGATGGTGTCTGGTGTCAACCTGCCCGCTGCCCAGCTCCAGATTGCCATGGGTATTCCCCTGCACCGCATTCGCGACATTCGTCTCCTCTACGGCGTTGACCCCAACACCTCCTCCAACATTGACTTCGACTTCTCCAGCGAGGAGAGCTTCAAGGTCCAGCGCCGCCCGCAGCCCAAGGGCCACACCACTGCCTGCCGTATCACCTCTGAAGATCCCGGCGAGGGCTTCAAGCCGTCTAGCGGCACCATGCACGAGCTGAACTTCCGCAGTTCGTCCAATGTTTGGGGTTACTTCTCTGTCGGTACCTCCGGTGGTATCCATAGTTTCTCTGACAGTCAGTTCGGTCACATTTTCGCCTATGGTGAGAATCGATCTGCCTCGCGCAAGCACATGGTTGTTGCCTTGAAAGAACTGAGTATTCGCGGTGACTTCCGCACAACCGTCGAGTACCTGATCAAACTTCTGGAGACCCCTGCATTCGAGGAAAACACCATCACCACCGGATGGTTGGACCAGCTGATCTCCAACAAGCTGACGGCCGAGCGACCCGACCCGATTGTGGCGGTTGTTTGCGGTGCTGTTACCAAGGCACACCTTGCCAGCGAGGCCGGCGTGGAAGAGTACCGCAAAGGTCTTGAGAAGGGCCAGGTCTCCTCCAAGGACGTCCTGAAGACCGTTTTCCCTGTGGATTTCATCTATGAAGGATCTCGCTACAAGTTCACCGCGACCCGCGCCAGCTTAGACAGCTACCACCTGTTCATCAACGGTTCCAAGTGTTCGGTCGGTGTCCGTGCTCTGGCTGACGGTGGTCTATTGGTCCTTTTGGACGGCCGCAGTCACAACGTTTACTGGAAGGAAGAGCCCGCGGCAACTCGCCTGAGCGTAGATGGAAAGACTTGCCTGCTGGAGCAGGAGAATGATCCGACCCAGCTCCGCTCTCCCTCGCCTGGTAAGCTGGTCAAGTTCACTGTGGAGAATGGAGAGCATGTCCGTGCTGGCCAGCCTTACGCCGAGGTTGAAGTCATGAAGATGTACATGCCCCTTATTGCCCAGGAGGATGGCATCGTTCAGCTCATCAAGCAGCCTGGTGCCACCCTGGAGGCCGGTGATATTCTCGGTATTCTTGCTCTGGATGATCCCTCGCGTGTCAAGCACGCTCAACCCTTCACCGGTCAGCTTCCTGATATCGGCCCGCCTCAGGTGGTCGGTAACAAGCCCCCTCAGCGTTTCTTCCTTCTGCACAGCATTCTGGAAAACATTCTTCGTGGTTTCGATAACCA